TATCTGAATCCGGTACTGGTCATGACCACGAATAAGTCCATTTAAAATAGCCCATTTTTCAGCAGCCATTTTAAAGGTGCATTCTATAGTTTTTTTAGCACGACTCAATCTATAGTTAAAAATTCGTTTTATATTATCTAAAGTTTTTTTTTGCATATGGTCTCATAAGATAACCTGACAAAGGAAATGTTTCGTCTAATGCTAAATAATACGGAAAAGGATATTTATTTTCATCGTAATTTAATGGCGAGGGTGTAGGAATATCGAAACCACCATGCGTAATCCAATGTTTCATGGCGGAAGCGCGAAAAATGCCTCCATCGCTATTTTGTCCAGCATATCCCGTCTCTATCATAGTAAATAACCCATCTGCGTCACAACACGCCATTAATATAACGGAATGGAACGATTTATAATTATAATTAGTGGAGCCTGTGTTTGGGAAATTCTCTATTCTTACATGTTTGCCATCGAGAGTGCCTATACAATTTGGTAAGTTCCATAAAAATTAAACATACAAATTTATTGAAAAACTGATTTTTTGTAGTTGAATTTTCGCGATTGTTGATTTTGATACTCCTAAAATGTCCGAAAGACGACGATTACTACAGCCTAGTGGCTGTAATTTAATTTTGTCTAGAATTTCTAATTTTTGTAGCGCAAGCGATAAATCTTTACGTACCTAGGTATACGAGACATCGTGAACGCGACTAACACGACTAAATAACATTTAATACACATCACATTTTAACATACGATAAGATAAAATGTATATAATTTAATCTAATAATCGATCACGCGAGTCGGTCGCGATTGTCGGACTATTGATCTATTAATATTTAATATTATACTCGATATAAATGTTACAATCATCCGGATTCGCGGCCCAAATAAGCGGCGTACTTTACATTGTAAGCATACATTTGTTTTCGTAATTGTAGAATTGTTCCGACTAACCTTGCGTTCAACAGTTAAGGCACTTCGCCTTGGAGGTTCTTTCATAAATGGTCTAACAATATCTATCATATTTTGACACAGTCTTTTTGATAGTCGAAACATACCTATGAACTGTCTATCACTCAAGTCTTAAAAGAGTGGAACATCATAAAATGTTAATATATAATTTTCATGTGGCTATCCACAATAAATAATAGGTTAGGTATTACCTGTTCCTACTTTGGATATTACTTAATAATATTATTTTAATGCATATTTATTTAAAAAATATAATGTGTGACTCACGTTGAAATGGATTTAGGTAGTGCTACACGAACATTGTGAACAATCTTAGCATCCATTTCTAACAACTCTAGATTTTCAATTGTTTGAAGATTTTCATATAAATCTAATAGAGGAGATTAGTAGTTACGTCACAATCTATAATTATAACGCGTCTGGTTCCAAACAAACCGTTATCACGGTTCATTCCATAAGAAATGCATTGACCGTTTATTTTTTTTAATTCTTTTGGTTTTTTCATCATTTAAAATTGCTTTCTTAGTTATAAAACTGATTTTATAGTATTGTATGCATATTAAAATATATATATTTAACCAATATTTATGTAGGTAGATTCACTTTTATATTTAAAACATATGCCCTAAAGGCTAAAGCAAGCATGTCAAACGCCTAACGGACTCCATTTATTTTTTTCGATTAATTTGCTTAGTTTTCTGTTCAATATTTTTGGTCCAGTTGTGAGTTGATGTGAGCAATTTTTGACATGCTTGGTCTAAACTTCGGTATAACATTATAATATTTAATTGGTATACATTATATTATTATCATTATATTATTATATGTTCATTAGTGTTCAAATTATTGATTATTTAGCACAAAAAAAAATTTAATTTTACTTATTTATTTACTATATAGTGTTAGAATTTGTCTGTATTTAACTTTTAATATGAATAACACATAATATCTCTAAAATATACCTACTTATATTTTTAAGGTATACTTTAAAACATGGCATCGATAATTAAGATTCATAAAATAATTGAATTTATTAGTGATCCTAAGGTAATTGCTAAAGGTGAAAACCATTTTTAAAGTGGAAATGTCCACACTTGTAATTTCGTTTTGGGGATTTTAAAAGAAAATGTGCATTCTAGCATGGAAAATAAATTAAATGATGTTGAAGAGAACTTACTTTTTATTTATTGATTTGGATTTCATTAAGGTTGTGCAGTTACTAATGTAAAAATAACTATATAACTTTTTAAGATTGATCAAACATCTAGTTATGCCTCTATTATTTTACTAAATTTTAAATTATATTATAGATTTACAAGATTTTATTTTCTTAATATTTCAGATTTGTACAAAGAATAATTCTGTAGAATATGTTAAATGCTCATGTGCAGTTGGACTAACTAAATGTAGCCATATGATGGCTTTATTATTACATGCCCATAAACATATATCGGTAACTGACTCTGAATGCTCTTGTAGATAGAAAAGAAAAGTTAATGGTGATATTTTAAAATCTAACGATGATCTCTAGCCTGATAATTTCTCCATAGTTAAAAATACTAACTGCGATTTWAAAAAAAAAAACTATGTTTTGAAAAGCTTAAACTAAGTGACCATATGGYAGGATTTTCTTGGTTACTGAAACCCGAACATATTAACCATTYAAATGATATTGTAAATTTACCATCATTAGAGTCTGTACTATTTTCAAAAGAATTTGAATGTGCAATTGATAAAAGAGAATTTATTTCTAATTTATTTAAATTAGACCAGAATAAAATAGAAAAAATAGCTCAATACACAATCAGCCGATCGGGAAATATAAAATGGTCCCTTTATAGACAGTATAGAATTACTGCAAGTAATTTTCACAAAGTTCTGAAATGAATTAATCGAAACAAATTATTTAAATATTATATTATAATCTAATATATATATATATATATATATATATAATTTCTTACTTAATATACTATTGTAATTTTAATCATACTATACGATGTTATTAAATTCTTTTTGTTATACCTACATATATACCTACTTTATAAAATCACATTATAAAAGAAATTRATCTTCAGAAATACATAATTGGTCTATATCTTTTATTAAAGGATTTCTAAAATTAACCAATACTGAACATAATTTAAAAACAATTGAAGCTTTTACATACAARCATTTAGGAATATGAGTAAAATATGGTACTCTTTTTAACCTTTGTATTGCACGTTCCACATGAATCCRAGCTCTTGCAATATTTTTGGTTTTTACAACTTCACTCGGAGTAAATTGAGATGAAACTAAAAATGGTGGAATATTTAATTTAACTCTACTAGGAAGAAGATCAGAAATAAGAAGCCTTTATCTGCAAAAATTAGATCACCWGGTTGAAATATATTTAAAACTCCACAAACAGCTACAATTTTTTATCTGAAATGGATTCTGGATAAAATTTAYTAGCAAAAGTTATGACCCCATTGGGTGCTATACCAATKAATCCTTTGAGAGTATTTCTATGTTTATAATTACTGTAAGTCAACTTTTGTTGATCTAATTGCTTAGGTCAGGGGTTCCCAACCTTTTTATCATCGAGTACCACCAGACACTTTTATAATCAATACGCGTACCACCTCAATTCTAAAACTAAATTAGGAGTCAAATTTTTTTAACGTATATTTTTATTATTCATTCAATTCTTTACATTTTTATTATTTGATATTTATGAAAGTAAAAAAATCATAATTTTTAGTTAAATCTAAATATTTAAATTTTAAATTACAATTTTCAAATTAATAAAAAAAATAATAAATATAAATAATAATAAAATAAAATTAATGTGATATTTGTTGTTGTTTATTTTTTACAAGGTTATCAATATCAGGCTGAATGGAACTAATTTTCACTCTTAAGTCACTTTGAATATCGAGCCTACTTCTGTACTTATTTTTCAAATACAGCAATTCCGAAAATCCACTCTCACACAAATAAGTAGTGACAAATGGGGTTAAGCATTGTAATGCTTGCTTGAAAAGAKATGGGTATTCTATTTTTGTTGACATCCAAAATGAAACCAATGTTTTGTCTTTAAATGTGTCTTTCATAGATCATTTAATACGACATACAAGACGTATAGCGACACACTAAATTCTAAAATAACTCATTGATATTTCTTACGTATATTTTCCAATAATYGTTATCGCCAATTGAGTGGCCATAACCATATTATATAAAATATAATATAAATAACACAAACGTTAAAACTATAAGAATGCGCTTTATCGATAAGAACTATAATTAACTTAAGAGTTTATCATTATCTAAAATTCTAAATTGCTACGATTACAAACCCCATGTTATCGACATTAAATTTATTTTGATAAAATAATAATTTTATAAAATTAGCTAATATCAAATAAACTAAACTAAATAATATTGAATGCAAATAGTAATAAAAAAATTTCTTCGCGTACCACCTACGAGCCTTCCGCGTACCACGGGTTGGGAACCTCTGGCTTAGGTATATCACAAGGTACCTCAGTACAGTCAATAATCATACAATTTTTGAAACTTTGAAAACAATTAGATAAACAAAGTTGATTTTTAAGTTGAGATGGAACATTGTCTATGAGTGATTTGAATCATATATTATATAATAAAATTATAAAAGTTTAAGTAACATTAGATACAGTTGATGGTTAGGTCAATTAAATCTAAAAGCTAAGTCTTTATGACCTAAGTTTAACTTTAATTTCATTAGAGTCATAAGTATTTGATCTTTTAATGAAAAGCATGTGWCATTCCAACCTAAGTAATAATTAAATGTAACATTTGAACCTAGTGTGTGAATTATTTAAAACACATCTTCACTTAATCCAGTGTAATATTGAAACATATWATMATTTTTTGAAATTGAATGACGACTAAATGGATGTTTTTTTAAGATCTCAACTTCTTTTTTCAAGTCTTCGTTTTCCTCTTTCATAAAATAACATTCAACATTTTTCTCCAGAATTATATTTTGTTCAAACATTAAATCAGCACCTTCAGTATTAGGTTCTTCATTAATAATTGGATCACTTGCAGCAGTATTATCACATTGTTCTTCGACATTACATCTTACTGTTTTAGTTCTAAATTATAAATTAATTTAGATTATTAACTTTACTATATTATTATTACTAGCTGGCCCTATGCACTTCATTGCTCTTAAACAATGACATTCCTTTATAGTTACAATTGTTATTTTACTTCAAGGCTAAAATAAGTTTCACAATAACTATTTARTGGTATAGTTGTCCACTGATTTGTGATTATGTTAAACAAAAGAGGAAGCTGAGAGAAATCCTTCAGTAGCGATGGCGTCACGTATGTGGATGTACTCGTCTGAAGGTAAAAATATTATCTAGGCAATCTCATAGGCATTTATTGATACTTTAATTTTGAAGTGAGTTACGAGCATTTTAAAGTTTAAATATTTTACATAGCTATAACTCATTTAAAAATTAAAACATCAATAAAAGCTTTTGAGATGTCCTAGATAATATTATTATGTTCAAGTTTRATAATAAGTAAATTTACTCTATAATTAAAGCAGTTAAAATAAAAATTAACTTTTACGTTTTTTGGGGGAAACAAAATGCATTATTTTGTTTTCATTCCAAGCAAATATAGACGGACTRTTTTCTTTCAAACCATCTTTACAATGGCAACTACACAATCGACTATTATTTGATGGAATAGAATCTACTCTCCAAATAAAACAATTATAATCATATTATTATAGTAATAATGGTATAAATAAAATAATAATATAATAAACAATAAAGCATACCTAACTAAATTATATAAACCAAGAATTAGTGTCACATCTGTCGAAAAACTAAAAAAAAAACACGATTCTCTGACAGAATAGTGTGAACACTGGAGTACCCAGCAGTTAGGTTAGGTAACCTTTTTTTTTTTTTGTACCTACCAGGAGGGAACTGCGTTTGCAATACTTCCTCCTGACACCCATCGTTTATTTATATAAACAAACTTCACAACAAGTTAACTTAACATATTGAATATAAAATATTGCCTATAACATAATGTAGAGAACTCTATCTCTCACAGTTTGACCAGGTTGGTCTACAACATTTTTGAACCTTAACTAGTTAATATTGTTTCTTCGCGTACTGCGACTTCGCGACCAGGTGCTCAGTACCAGCCGGTCTGGATTCCCGTTCTGTGGTTCAGGTTCCAACTCCTCCTCCGTGTTGAACCCTTCTTTCTTCCTCCTCACTGCGCATCATTATTCGTGTGAGAAGTTGTTCTATTCTGGACCATGCATTTTTTGACGACAGCATTATGCCCACCATTTTGTCTGGGCTTATCTTATCTACCCCCAGGTAGATGCATGCATCTTGTCGCCAGTGATACGAAGCGTCACATGAAAATACAGCGTGCTCGGCGCCATCAGGACTTACCCCATAGTGAGCACACGCGTCCGTCTCCCGCTTGCCAAACCTTTTTAGATATTAGTTGAAACACCCATGGTTGGTCAACACTTGGCACAGGTGAAAAGACACCTCACCGTGATTCCTCTGGAACCAGGACTTAATGTCCTTGATCAGCCTGGAGGTCCATCTGCCGTTCTCGGTTGGTGTTTCCCATCTATTTTACCAATTGATCATTAGGATCTCCCTGGCAACATTCCTATCAACTCCGTTGTACACGTTGGTTCTTTCCTCAGCCAGTAAAGCGAGTGGGGGCATGCTTGCCACTACCGCTGCTGCCGCGTAGGACGTGGTTTGGTAGCAACATGCCATCCTCAGCATGATCCTCCTGTATGCAGACTCCATGCTGCCGAGTGCTAGGTAACCTAACATAACCTAACCATAATTAAAAAGGCCTCGAGTTTCTTATGCAAAGAAACTTTAAGATCAGTTTAAAAAATGAAAAAACAATTTAAAAGAATTAAAAAACCAAATGAATCAAAAAAAAAATAAACGTGCAATGCATTTCTTATGGAATGAACCGTGATAACGGTTTGTTTGGAACCAGACGCGTTATCATTATAAATTGTGACATCACACTAATCTCTTCTATTTATCCATATTAAAATATCAGGAATAAAAATACTTGTAGTACGAACAACACTAACACACCACAAAAGTTGATATTTGACTAAGCATTTTGGTGTACCTACATATAAATATAATAAACTGGTTTTACTACATATTATCTGAAGTTTCAAAAGAAATTTAAAATATAACTGATGGTGATTATGATGTAACTACAATGAAAACATGTATTTCGTCAAAGTAAATAACTTATTGGAATTTACCAAAATAACTATTAGATGTAGTTTAATCCCATTGAAGAATGTATCATTACTCTTATAAGGTATACAAATAGGTGAAAATATAAGGAAACATTTTTAGGATAAGATGCATTTTTATATTTTTTTAAATTTTTAATATAATTAATGGGTACCTGTATTTTATTTATGCAATGTGAGACTTTTTTCTTAATATCATACTAAATAGTAAATACTTCAAGTTTATAATAATATCATATAATAATAGTATCCCATAAAATACGGCACGTAGGATTTTGACAATATTGATGCAGGCGCGTAGCGATGAATTTTTAAGGGGATGTGACTAGAAAAATAAACCTTGAATATAATTATAAAAAAAATACACCGTACCTATATTTGTCTATATTAATATTAATATTTCGAAGACTGAAATAAATGTATTGGGAAAAAATATATTAAAATAAAATTGTATAAAAAAAAATAGAAAGTACATTTTATTTAATAAATTATTACGTTAATCTGATTCAACGATTTGTTTTACTTAGTTCACGTATTATTCTCGCTACGCCATCTGTATTGTTGTACTTACAGTATATATTGTATTATATTACTAAAATTTGTACACTATTTTAAAAGAATAATGAGTACGTATAAGCATAGGCGTGCGTAGGGGGTATGCAGGGTATACAGCTGCATACCCTGAAGTTCTGTGAGGGGCGAACATCGACTATGGAAAATTGAAACATCCAGTTATCAGTTATCAACTACCAAATATTTGCAAAAYACATACTTCTTGTATTATGTAATAGTATTTATTACAATATTTTTTTAATTAAACAGTAGGTTTTTTCAATATTTGTGAATTGTGTATACATATTATCAGAATTTTACGAGCTTAAAATAACTTTCAGGGCGCGCTATTGTCAGCCTWCTGCATATCCTGAAAAAGAGGCCTGCGCACGCCTATGCGTATAAGTAATAATAACGATTAGCCAATGATTGGCTAATAGCCATAGGTGATTAAAGAAATTGGGTAAATATTATGATATCTATAATAATAAATAAACATTAATACTTATAAGTAAAATTTGAGTAGATAATATTTTATCAAAAAACGTAGGTACGTATAGTAAATGTGTAATTGAATCGGTCGTCATTTTGACAAAAAAAAAATTATTCGTATACGAATACTAAGATTCTACTAGATACACCACACGACTATTTCGTAGTAGAATCCCGTAATAGAATAAAACTCGTTCGTATACGAACGGCGTTCAAGAATACGTTTTTGTCAAAATAGTAGAAAAAGTACAATTATTCGTATACGAATTCCGTTCTACTACTTTCAAGAATAGGCTCCCTGGTGATGGACACTATGTCATACTTAGCTATCGTGGTTGTATTGCACAAATCCAGATGAAGAACTCGATGCAGCAGTATTGTATGAGTTGGTCGGTGATATCCACTGTGTCATATTGTTGCTATTTGAAGGCAGAATATAATCAGATAAAATTGTTGTGGTATAATTAGGAATTACATATTGTTCTTCCATTTCATTCACCAATGTCAGAATTTGAAGTTTAATTTCATCGATTACCTATGAAGGGAATTTTTTAACGGTCATAGCAATACTTTAAAAAAAAAGTCAACTTCGTCCTCTTGTTGTGAATCTAGTGATACCAAAAATTATTTTTTGCTTGGATTTTTGATATAATTTAATTTCGTTCTTTCGATCTCTTGGCTAATATTGCCGATAATTTATCATCTTTAGACCGTAATCGTTTCCCTCCAAATGATACTGCTGGCAAATTAGGTATATCTGTTTCACTACAGTTGCTTTCGATCTCTACGTCCACGATGTCAACTTCGTTTCTGAACGAATCGTTAAACAAAATATTTTGTTCTGTAATTTCTTGTATTTCAACGTTTTTGAAGTTCTAAAATAATTTTTTCAATTCAAATTTATTATAATATAGGTAATTTAAAATACATATATCTAGCTAGTTTCTACTTTGTAAATACGAGTACTTTCTTGCATATTAAATTGTGTCTAAAAACGATATATAGTAGACACAGTAGGCAATTTTTTTGCCTCATGTATGCGTCACGCATATTTTTCCACCTTTTCTTACAGTTATAAACTTTAATTTGATAAAATATAGAACATTTTAATATTGGAATGTTAGCGGTACCTATATATTATATATTATTATATTATAAATTATAAATAATGAATCTATAAAATATATTTTGTACCAGGGCTTTGCACCCGAACGAAACCCAAAACCCGAAACCCAAATTAACCCGAATAAAATTGCAAAACCCAAACCCGTATTATACAACACTCAATGAAAAAACAAACACCCGAATTAACCAGAAACCAGTATTAATATTTGGGTTAACCCAAAACCCGAATTATTATTAAATACAAAGAAATGAGTGACACGTCAATTCGTATGTATTTTACGTAAATAAGAAGATAAGAAAATAGTTGGCGTTATATTAATAAAACATAACATAATATTTCAATATGTTGGATCGACTATCGATATTGACTGCAACTGTATAATTCTCGACGATATTATCTTTAAACGCGCGCGTATATTAATTATTTGCTTGTGACCTGCGAGTAGTTGTGAGGTTGTGACTTGTGATCTATTATTTTGTCTGTGCTTGTGATCACAATAATTTACAGTGTCAAACGACTCAAACTATATGAAAATAGTTTTAAATTGTTATTATTAAATATAAACATTATAAACCAACTAAACAAAGAAGAACATTAAGTGAGTAAATTTAATTTCAATTAATATTGTATAAATGTATCATACACTATAATATTATATACCTAATATTATCAAAAAATTTCAAATGGTACCTATTTAAACTATAATAGTTTTAAATTTAAATACTTTAAAATTTAATTATATAAAAAATTATAATTCTATAGGAATGGGCAGAAAAAGAACATCTCCAGTTCATAAATATTTTAAATTTAATATTTTGTCTGGAAAATCAGTATGCCAAATAGATTCTTGTGGGCATGAACTGGTCGGTGAACATGCCAAAAATTTAGAACGCCATATAGAAAGTCTTCACTATGATATTTTTGCAAAATATTTGTCTGTGGAATCTAGAGAAATCGAAAGAAAGAAGAAATGTAAAGGATTGACAAGTATTCAGGTTGGTTAAACACAAATTTAGGACTTACACATGCTGACAAAATCATACAAATTTTTTATTTGGATTTTTAAATATAATAATTCATAGGTGCTTGAATATTAAATACCTAATAAGTTATTGACTATTRTAATTTATATTCAATGATCATACTTCAATACATTTTTAAAATGTAATGAATTATAACTTATAAGTATAACACTATAAAATTAAAAAATAAGTATATTAATTAACTGTAAATCAAAATTGTAAAAATTAATTTGTTGCACCCATCTATGAATTTAAATTTTTAAGATTTAATATTCATTATTCCCTTTTTGATAACAATTATAAATATGGAAGTTAATATTACTCAAATTTTAATATAGCAAAAACCGATGACACAATCAAAACTTAATTTTGAAAATAAGAAACAGAGTATTTCTATTGAGCTTACAGCAAAAGAACTCATGAATGCTTGTACAGAATTAGTAACAGTCAATGGACGACCGTTTGAACTTTTAGAGGATAGTGGATTTCTTAAAATTTTAAATCCTTTATTAAAAGGTTTGGGTGATAGCTGTTATGTCATTAACAAAAGGAATGTAAGATCAAATGTTATAACTAAATCAAATGAAGTTGTAGCAAATATTAAAGACTCAATTAAAAATAAATTATTATGCCTTAAAATGGATTGTGCGTCAAGAAAAGATAAATCTATTTTAGGAATAAACGTTCAATATGCAGCTGCTGATACAGTAGTGACTACTTTACATACATTAGCTATGATAGAATTAACCCAACAACACACTGCAGTATATCTAAAAGAAAAGGTCAGTAAATACTAAATTATTTATAAAATAAATCTTTTTAATAAATAAATGAATATTGATTAGATATAATATCTAAACATTTAATATACCTACTATACTAATAAATAAACTAATTGTTCTCAGGTCAATGAAGTTCTTAAAATTTTTGAAATTAAAAAACAACAAATTCTTACAATC